CACCTGCACAGGCTCTGCTCCCGCTGCAGCTTGGGGGCTTCCAGTGCCAGCAGGGCCAATGTCCCCTTCGCATGCAGAGAAAGCCCACCAAGGCACCCACAGACCCAGCTCCCCACACAGGGCTGCTGCAGTGCTGCCAGAATCTGTCTTTTCCTTCGGTTCCTGCCCGCTGCGCGTGTGCCTGGGCGCACTGGGCAGCCCCCAAGTTGGCACTGCCCACGGGAGCACCCAGCCTCTCCCGAGTACCAGCTCTCCTGGGATTCCAAACCCGGCTGTCCCCGATCCTCTGGGACAGTTGGTGTCCACAGAGATCCCAGCAGAGGGATCCCAGCCCACCCAGGCACCACACGTCCCACATCCCACATTCCCATGTCCCCCGGCTCCCGGCCAGCGGGTGCCCCACAACTCGGCGGGGGCTGTAGGAGCAGTATTGATGGCAGTGCTGTGATGGTGACCCTGGGGTATCCGACCGCTCTGCACACAGGGCTGGGGTGGGGACACATCCATCCCTGTCCCCAAGTCATCCGCTGTGCTGTGGCGTGGATGGGCACCGGAGAGCGGGATGTGGCAATGGATGGAGAAAGGGCCGAGTGAGAGGAGGAGAGTGCAGGGGAAGGGAGCGGGAGCGCTTGGAGGGGCCAGCCCCGGGACACCGCATGTGATGAGCTGCATGCTGGGGTGAAACATGAGCGCTGGACTGAGCTGCAGCCTCGAGGAGCGGGCGCCGAGTCTATCAAACATAGGAAAAAATAAATCCCTGCAAAAATATGCCAAAGGATGTTCCCACTCTCACATGTAATTGCATCCAAAGCTAGATATAGATGTCGCAGCTAAAACCGAACGTGCTCCAGCACTGAGAAACGTTGCATTTGGAGCCAAATCTGGTTCAGAAGCTTGAGCTAAACCCTAATTAAAGCAGAGATGTTCATTCATGACAGTTCCCAGTTGGCAATGTATTTAAAGTTTCCACTTTAGGAAAGATTTTATGACTCCAACTTGTTTGTTTCTGACTACACGTCTGCTGCTGTCCCGCTTCCTGCTCCCGTGGCTTCCCACCCAAGGCAGGTGTCAAAGCGAGCAGGGAAAAGCCAAGGTTTGGCCTTGCCTTGTGGGGCAGGGGCTAAAACCTGGGAATTTGGTTCTCCTGGTTCTCCCGGAGGGTAGCAGCTCCCAGTCCTGCAGCAGGAACCTCTGCTGCCCAGGCCAGGCGCAGGAGGAAAGGAGCTGTCAGATCCAGGGCCGGAGTGGTGTTTCCTTGGGAATTTCCCCAAAGTATCCCTGTGCCGCTCACGTTAGGGTGTGCTTGTTCCTGCTAAAGCCATCCCTCTGGGAGCACATCCGCTGAGCACTGTGTAATCAGCCCCATCACCTGCTGCCGCTTACAGTCAAGTCATTCATTTCGTCAGTAAATTCAGGCAGAGCCTGGGCTCACGCGCTGCGCTGGCTGCAGAGCTGCTCAAAGCGCCTGTGGGAAACCCAAGTGCCCCCAGCCCCCTCGATTTACCTGAGGGCAGCGCTGAGGGGTTTCAGGCCCCGGGCCAGCTGCACCATCCCTGCTGCTCCTCACCATAAAGAGCTGGACTAAAAACGCATTAAAACCGATCCCCGCCAAGCACACAGCCGCCGTGCTTGCCAAGGGGCGCTCCCCAGGAGATGGAGCCCCAGGGTACGCGGAGCCTTTCCAAATGTGTCCGGGGCACGTGCAGCTCTTGCCCCTCCACCCTCTGCTCCCAGCCTGGCTGAGATGAGGCAGCGACAGCCAAAATTCACACATTTGTGTTGAAATGATGGCTGATTGCTCCCTGTCACAGCCGCTGGGACAGGGAGGGATGAGGCAGGGCCGAGGCTCCTCCCGGCCCTTCCCTTCCCTTGCGCTTCCTGCGCGGGCAGTTTGGAGACGACCGTTTCCATGGCGATTCATCCCCAGCCGCTCCAGCCCGCGGCGCTCCTGGCCTGATGCTCTCGTGCTAAAAATACCCAGCGCTGCTGTGACTTCCAGAGCTGCGATGCAGCTTCACCAGGAAAACAGGGCGTTTGTAAAATACAGGCACCCCCTGCCACTGGCCGTGCCCTCGCTGGGGTCTGCAAAGCACCAGGAAGGGGAAGGAGCTGCTATTAGAAACAGTCCCGTTGCACGGCCAGCTCCTGCGGGGCTCATGACTCCACGAAACGGGCCGAGCATCACGGGGAGCAGCCTGGGAGCAGCTCCGAGTGCCAGCGCTGCCCCCCCCGCTTCCCGGAGGGCTCAGAGCCATGGTCCAGCTGGCAGGGACATTCGGGGGCTTAGAGGGGATTTGTCTCTAAACCAATCAGTCCTAATGAGGAGGCAGAGCACAGGGCAGCATCTCAGCCCCACTGGTGGTGCCTGGGACCTACAGGGTTTATCCGCAACGCAGGAGATCCAGCAGAACAAGCAGCCAGGGCCGGTCCTTGGTAGCTGTTTCCACGTCTCCTTCCTCTCCGGTTGCTTTTCCTGGGAAGCAGGTCTCGCTTGGCTCGGGCAGTGCCGTGACAGTTCTGCACATAATGTGCTCAGGACCCCTCATTCTTTCCCCACTTCCCCAGGGTCAGGACTCTGCTTCTGCTTTAGCTCCTGGCCTTGGGACAAGCAAATGTCTCTCCCTGGATCAGCCACGTGCTGTCCCGTCCCAGTTCTGCCTGGCAGGAGCCTTTGGGAAGCACAAGAGGGATGGCAGGAGCAAGGAGCAGGGCTGCCGGGGCTCTGTCCTCTGCTCAGCATCCTCCTTCACTTGTACAACCACTTGCTGATGGCACTGCATGCAGAACAGCCCAGTGTGCACATGGCAATAAATTGCAAAGCACCATAAATAGCAGCAAACCAGGCTGCCAAGTGAGGAAGGATTTAGACCACTCAAATCCCAGTCTGATCTATCCAGTCAAGTGCCAATAAGTGTGCGATAATAACTCATTGCAAGCAGCCTCTGTCCCCAGCTGGATGAGGCCCTCCAACACAGAGCGAAGGCAGCAGGGATTGTGGGATGGGAGGGAATGCCAAGTGGGAACGCAGGAATACCACTGGACCTGTGTGCTGCCATCCCTGCTGCCCGCTTGGTGCACAACTGCAGTGAGGGGCAAGCAACACTGCAGGGCTGCGGCGAACAAGAAAAACTGCAGGGCTCTGTGGAGCAAGCGACACTCCAGGGCTGCATGGAGCAAGCGGTGATGTGGGGTTGTGTGGAGCAAATGATGCTGCGGGGCTGTGTGGAGTAAGCGACATTTCGGGGCTGGAAAACCAAACCTGAAGCCACACAGGCAGAGGGAACAAGCAGAAGGAGTTGACAAATGATCAAGAGGCTTTGGAGGGGAATGAAGGCCCTCGCTATGTCTGCAAATGGGGGGCCAGACTGCACATAGGGACCCTCGGGCTGCTATGCAGGCAAAGTCCCATCTCTGGGGCCGGCCGTGGTGAACATGGATGTCAAGCCCTGCACGGGGCTGCGGGGAGCAGGCAGAGCCAGCACAGCAATCCTCCTGGAGCGGCTCTGGACTGCCCGATATGTGAGCAATGAGGAATCCACGTGGCTGTCGGAGCTTTAAATGCAGCCTTCACAGCTCCTGCAAGCTGTGCAGCCCAGCCCTGCCGTGCAGGCGGGAGCACCGCGAGGATCACCCCCTTCTTTCCATTCCACGAGTTCACACTGACATCAGACACCAACAGCCCCGAGCGCAGGGGATGAGCTGGGCCTTTGTGGATAGTTTGGGTGTTGACAGAGCTCCCGGCTCAGCCCGCTCCCAGGTGTACACTACAGAGCACAGAAGGGCACGTTCAGCCCCAGCCACCGCACGAGTTTGAGGCACAAGGCACACACACAAGGCACACACACAAGGCACGAGGCACAAGGACACCAACATCTCAGAGCAGGGCTGCAAATCCCCTGGGAAATGCTAACTGGGGGCAAGGTGGGGAGTGGGGAGACTTGCAGAGCTCTGGGCTGCTCCAAAGGGGCTGCATGAGGAGCTCGAGGCACGTGGGCAGCAGCAGCCTCCACGGCACAGCTGCCCGGCGTCACCCGTGCCCTCAGCAGCCACCCGGCTCCTTCGAGCCCCGCGGTCCCGAGCAGCGGTGGGGAAGGCCCAGAGTGGCACACGGAGGCTGAGCCGGATCAGCGGTGTGAGGAGTCACCCATGAGACCCCACATCGATCTCCCTGCTGCAGGAATGACAGCCTGCGAGCAGATCAATTCCGCTGCATTAAGCCCAGGCAGAATTTGGCATCGTCAGCAAAATGTCCCAAAACGTCACCACACTCTGCAGAGCGAGCGCCACAAAGCTCCGCGTCCGGGTCCCAGCGCACACCCCCGCGCGGGAAGGGAGCTGCTCCCATGTGCCAGCCCCACCGCTCACCGCAGCGCTGTGAGCAGCAGCAGCTGCTGATCCTCGCCAGAATGGAACAAATATTCAAATGTTAAAAATGCTGGCACGTACAAAATTCCTCTGCCACTGTTACAGCAAGAAATAATTTTGTGCTGCTGACCCAGACTAATGTGACTCCCATCTGTGCTCTGCAGCCGCCTCCACCGCAGGGCTGCGAACACGAGGCTGTGAACCCGTCCCTGTCGCTGTCCTTGCAGGGTTGACACGATGCCCAGCTGAGGACGGCAGGG